AAAAAAAAAAATTCCATAATTAAAGAAGGAAACTAAACAAATAAAACAAAACGAAAATTCAACAGAAAAAAAACTTTAACAAAATAATCAAAATGCCAAACATATTTTCAGAAAAACATTCAGAATATAGAGTGTAACTTCAGGTTGACAATTCCATATTAGAATTTAAGCAATAACCTTTTCCTACCTGGATTATTACATTAGTCAATGTACCTTTTTTGCATTTTTTCCTTGGCATCATCTCTCTTGGGAGTCTTCTCCAATCTGTGTGCACAAAAGAAGAAATATAAAAAATAAAGTTTCCTCTAGAAATTAGTGGCACTAGACATATTTAAAGAACACAACAGTTGCTCAAGCAATGAAAATAAAAAACTTTTCATACCTGACTATACAGATTTAGCCTGGGAATTAAAATATAACAATAATATATTTTCTTCTATGAAGAAAAAGTGTTCATTAAAATAGCTTTGAAATAGTGCTAAAAAATTTCTACAATATTCTTTTGACAGCTATACAGTATTTATATAATCAATTTTAAAGACAGAAATGTTCACAACAAGAAAAATATAGAAAAATATTTTCTATATAAAAAGCTTTAGGAAAGAATGGACATGAAAACTTATTCATGACATATTGTTGAATAAAAAATGTTTCTAAAACAATATGTATATTAATAGAATCGCATTAAAGAGAAATATAACATATATATATATATATATATATATATATATATATATATATATGTATATACACAATATTTGTGCAGAGAAAGCTCCAGTTTGGGAACAAAATATTATAGTAATTATAGTACTTCTTTGTGGGAGTTAGGATTACAGCTGGTTTTTTTTAAGTATTATTTATTATTTGACTACTTTGTATTTTTTAATTTTTCTGTAGTTGATATGTATTGCTATGAAATAAAAAATAATTTTTCAAAAGTTAAAATATGTGACCACAATCCCAACACATGCAAAATTAAATAAACAATTCTATTATCTGAAAACATTAAAATTACAGATATAAATAGGTGTGTAAAAGTAAATTCCCTCCAACCAATTATTCTGTCCATATTAGCTAAACAATTCCTCTAATTTGTCTCTTTCTTTTAATTTTTAAGCATAGAGTTAATCAGAAAAATGAAGCAACATAGAAATGGATTTAAAAATACTGCCTGCTAATAAAAAAAAACTTGATGCATATTTTAGAAAACATTTATATCTCAAGCTATTTCACCTGAACTAATAAATTTTGTTTCAAATATATTTGTTTTCATAAACAACTCATAGATGATCATGAGGAAGTATGTAAAAAGAATCATTCAGGAGATGAATATTTAAAAAGTGAAAGAAATGAGAGATCCAAGAGTGTTTCCAGGAGGACACAAGCTTATCAACAATCAACACTGAAAAGCGAGAGCACTATAACCCGTGATCGCAATAATGCTGCAAATGCCATTTACGCTTTTATAGAAAACGCCAAGGACAGAGATGTCAAAGGAAAGTGAGTTAAAAATGAGGAGACCTAGGTTCCAGTAGTATTATCCATGTCGCCCTGACAGGTCAATTCATGTCAATGGCAACTGCTTATCTGCAAAAGAAATGAGCTGGATGAGCTCTCTCCAGCCCCATCCACCTTGTCTACTATATCCAAGGCAAATTTGTGAATGTTGAAAAAACTATGTTAGGTATAGTTCTGTTGAAAAGGAACCTTAACACCTAAAAATCATCTATGTCTGTTTGAAAGAAATGATGATCCATGAGTTTAGCTTAAAACTCCTTAAAACTAGATTTGTTTTTTTCTCCAGAAGCTAGACAATCTTTCAACAGCACAGAAGTGAGTACTATTGGTACTAAAGATTGAAACTGTGAGTGTGGCAAATGAAAATGGAAAATCCAAATGGGTTTGGCAAATCCTAGTTTTAAAAATATATATATTTTAATAATTTCCACAAAAACATGTCAGCTCTTCCATGTTACAGTATAACCATCTTTTCATCTTAGTTTTCAAAAAATATACATCAGCAATTAATTACAGGAAAAGAGCCAGTCTCTATTTTGCTATGGTGAAATAGAAAATGTATCCTAAAAGAAAATATGGTGTAGATAGACTTTATAAATTATTTTAACATTTGCAGTTTTATAATTACCTGGTATCCATTCTTCTTTGTATACCTTCATGTATCTTTTACTATATCTTTCAATATCTAGAAAAAAAGTAAAAAATNACAACTAAACATACTCTTACCATACAATCAAGCAATCATGCTTCTTAGTATTTACTTTAAGAAGTTGAAAACTTATGTCCATACAAAAACAAATGTTTATAGCAGCTTTATTCATAATTTCTAAAACTTGGAAGCAACCGAGATGCCCTTCAGTAGATGAATGGATAAATAAACTGTAGGACATCTAGACAATGAAATACTATTCAACACTAAAAAGAAATAAACTATAAAGCCATGAAGTCATAGAAGAAACTTAAATGCATATTACTAGGTGAAAGAGGTCAATCTGAAACCTATGTACTGTATGATTCCAACTATATGATATTCTGGAAAAGGCAAAACTATGGAGTCGGTAAAATGATCAGTGGTTGCCAGGGGTTAGGAAGGAGGAAGAGATGAACAGGCAGAGAACAGAGGATTTTTAGGGCTGTGAAACTACTCTGTATGATATACTAGAATGATGGGTGCAAGTCATTAGACATCTGTCTAAACCCATAGAATGTACAGCACCAAGAAAGAACCCTAAGGTAAACTAGAGACTTTGGATGATAATGATGTGTCAATATAGGTTCATCTATTGTAACTCAAGTACCACTCTAGTGGGAGATGGTGATAATGGGGCAGGCTATGCATGTACGTGGGGGAAGGGAATATATGAGGAATCTGTACTTTCTGCTGGATTCTGCTATAAACCTAAAACTGCTCCAAAAAAATAATGCCTATTAAAAAACAAAAACAGGGCCTGAAAAAATAATAGGGGAGGGTATGGGAGGAATTTCCTTTCTTATTTACTAACCCCATTGTTCTTAATCTCTTTGGCTACTTCCTTTTTCTCTCTTTATTTTTGTAGTAAAATTCTCCAAAGACTCACCTATGCTAGTTGTTTCCACTTCCTAAACTCTCATTTATTGTTTAACCCATTCTAATCTAGACTCCACCTCTAGGAATCTTTCAAGAAGCTCTCACAGGTCAGCAATGATCAACATGTCAAAAATAAATTTATATTTTCCAATCTTTATTTTATGTCAGCCACATTTTTTAACCTCCTTTAACATTGTGGACCACCTTCTAAAATAC